GTCCACAGAGCTGACCTTGAACTTATCTGTTGCCCCAGGCTCCCTAGTGCAGAGATAAGAGCACGCACACTCATGCATAACAATAAAAATTAGCCAGGAAAAAGGTTTGATATAATTAAGTATCCTCTTCTACTATTTAGAAGCAACCCGCCTTTCACCTTCCTTATTACAAATATGAAAGTCTTCCACAAACCAATCTCTTTTCAGCACTGGGTCTTATACGCGCTAGGTATGTATCTACCACTGCGCTATAACCCTTACCTTTAAGACAAACCGAGACCGAAGCCAGACACAGTGGCTCATGCCTACAATCTCAGCAACTGAGGCTGGATGACTGGATCAAATTCAAGGCCAGCCTGGTGGGCTACCTAGAAGATATTGTCAACAAATAAACAAAAAAGGCCGGCGGTGGTGGTGGTGGTGGTGGTGCACGCCTTTAATCCCAGCACTTGGGAGGCAGAGCCAGGCGGATTTCTGTGAGTTTGAAGCCAGCCTGGTCTACAGAGCGAGATCTAGGACAGGCACCAAAACTACACAGAGAAATCCTGTCTCGAACCCCCGCCCCCAAAGCATGCCAATACCTATAGAAAGGTGACTGCCACAGGGTAAATGACAACTGATCCTTACTTATTTTTTACTGTCTGATCTTGCTGGATTCGGACGCTCCCGATACATCAAACTCTTATCTACAGCAGACTCTCTGGAGGAGCTGCAGCCCCTAACTGAGAGGCTAACCAATGACAGTCACAGGTCCAAAGACAGAACTGGTGTCGCTCTCAAACTCATCCGCCCAGACCCCCTCCCGCAGCTGTGCCTGGATTCCAGCCAGCATCAAGCCACTTCTAATTCCCCCTTCCGCAGTCTACGTCCCATTTTGCCGTCAAAACCTCCTCAAAAGTCTAGAATTGAAACGTACTAAAACTAAGAGCTCCTTTCTCACCTAGCAAGTTGTCAGGCTTACATGTGAGGTGCTATGTCCGTCCCGTCCTGTCCCCCCTGCCCTTTGTAGCTGGTAGGCAAACATTCCACCACTGAGCTACACCCTCTACCCAAGGCTCTTTTTTTTTTTTCCTTTGCCATCCCAAGCTGCCCTTGCAGACCACAACCCCAAGTCCTCCTCTATTTGGGATGCTTGGTTCCCTCTCCCATTTACAGAAATCCGATTCCAAATGACATACATTGGGTCCCAAACCCAAAGCACATTAAAAAAAAAAAAAAAAAAAAGCGCTTTGGGCCACTGTATTTCACCATGTTTCACGTAATCTTCCACTGCAGAAAACGTTCCTCACCAGCTAAAACTTCATCTTTACATCCACCGTTCAAATATACATGCAAAATGTTCAACGGAATTTATTTCTGGCCACCTACTCATAACGCTACTGTAATCTGTGTCTATACAAGCAGGATCCCAGCCACTCTCTGGACAAGGCTTCACAGAACGAGCTAGCTAGAGGCTGGTGAGATGGACTGAAGATTTAGTAACAACAGACCTGGACTTAAAAAAGTCCTGCTTGTTCTGTGACCCTGGGACAAGTTACTAAATTTGCAACCTAAATTTGGTGTTTGTTCTTTGCTAGACGGGGTCTCACTATGTAGACAGAGGTCCACCCCCCCACCCCACTTCCAAATGTGGGTATTTAAGGCGTGTACCACTATGCCTGGCTCTACTATTAGTATCTATCTAATACTAAGGGTCTTACTATTTAACCCAGGCTAGCCTCTTAAATGCTGGGATTCCCGGCATATCCCAACACTACGCCAAGGTCTAACTTCCCACGCTATGATATCTCTTAAGGAAGAAAAAGAAAACAGGAAAAAACTAAACAGGATGAAGAAAAAGTGTGTGTGTGGGGGGGGGGGGCGCACCTAAAACTAACTATCCCACCCCAAAAGCAAGCCACTCTACCATCGGAAGAACCTGTTCTAGCTGGGTATCAAGGCTAACGCTATGGGGGCTCTCCATAGCCTTTTAGGGTTAAACAGTGATTACTCTTTTTATTTGAAAATACTCTCATCTTTAAAACATACATTTAAAGGTCCGAACCAGGACCTACGAGTTCTTAACCCAGTGGAGAAGCATTTCTTACCCATTAGCTAGAGAGGTGGGTTCCAGCAGCTCTGTAGTCTCTGGAAGGCTAGTAGTAATCTCATTTCAATAGGGAAAGCACATCTCTCTCCTAGATATCTTACAGTTTTGGCTAAGAGTTCATTCCGTAATTATCAGGACAACAGAAAGAGCCTCAGCTATACACAACCACAGAAATACAAATTCTGAAGAGCTAAACCAGATGTCCAAAGTTGGCTGTGTGTTCTGGAGAATTCCATCCAGAGTCTTCCCTTAGCATATCCCCTAACAAGCTGATTCACTAGGTTTCGCAGCCTACAGGTTCTAAGAGCCAGAGTTTTATATAATGGATTCTAACATACTCCGAGTCCTGCTCTGCTTCCTTTTAAATAAAGTACTAGTCTCATTTTGAAAATGGGTTTTAGCAGTTATTCTACAGCAACTTCCGGGGGTGTGGTGGGGGTGGGGGTCTGGGTTGACGGCTCAGGATTGAACCCCACGTGCTAGGCCAGCTCTCTACCACTGAGCACAGCTCCCCTGCATCCAGCAAAAATGATTTCCAAGCACACATGAACCAACTCATGTACCTGCTTAAGGTCATTTATGAAGCAGTTGTTAAGACTGTTCTGTGAGACCCACAATTTAGATCATTGTGATTTCTCCCCATCTCCATGACTTCCCCTAGGGGAGACACACAGACCGACAGACACACACACACACCACTCGGAAAAAAATGGTGCCCGATTTTCCAACAACATATGGCACAATTTCAAAGATAACTTAAAGGCTCTTTTTTAGCCTGGCGACATGGAGCATCAGATCGCTGAGCAAAAGAGGCCCTTTACCCAGACGCCCCAGCTTCTGGAGTAGGAACTGGACCCTGAATTCCGACTCTACTGCCTAATTCTGTCGTGTGGGCAGAGTACTCCTGCTCACTCAAAGCTGTCTTCTCACCTATAAAACAGGACTGACCAGTGCTACTTCCAAGCGCTAAAAGGATTAAATGTAACAAACATTCCCCTGGCTGCACCTAACACACTGTAAACGCTCTACTAAAAATATGAGAGTGAACAAGTCAGACGGGATCCTGAGTCTGTTCGCTATTATACGCTTTTCTGTTTAGTTTGCCTTCCCTAGCACGGCCCTTACTTCAAAGAGACCCCCCCACACACACACACTCCCTTGGTAGACTGCATTTAACGCTTGTTGACGTCTTTCCTTGGTGCACTTTTCAAAAGTCCTTGTATTTATTTCTCTCATGAGTAGAACCACATCAAAGATCTTTCTCTGGAAGTTCCTTCGGGATTCGGGTTTAAACAATAAAAGGTTTCAAATCAACCTGAAGTGTCTGTTCCTTTAAAAAAGAAATGAACCCCAAATGGGTTTAAAGATCATACTTTTCAAGCACGCGGTTTTTGTTAATACAACAACTAAGCCACTGAGTGTAGGTCATGTCATACTTATCATAATTTCAGGGGCTAGCAGTGAGGAAGCCATTACATTCCCATCTCCAGCTTTTATGCCTGGTGTTTTCCTGGACACGGCCATGGAAGCAGAACTCAGAATGGTTAACTTTCTCTCTATCAATTCATTTTAGGCGTGGCAACGCCACAAGATTTTTCCCCCCGCGACCTAACTAACCGCTCTGACCAAGTTTGAAAACAGAGAGCCGTTTAAAAAAAAAAAAAACACGAACACATATAACCGAAATAAACAAAAATCGCCCTCCCAGCGGATACTCCAAAGGCCCGTCTCCATCCAACGCAGAAGGGGGGTAGAATTACACACCGCTCCTTCCCAGATGTCAAGCCACACCGCAGAGCAGCCTTGAGAAACCAGAAGAGCGAGAGATCAGGGCGCTGAGAAGGGCAATTTCGCCCAGTTTCAGGCCTATCTCGTCCCTCCTGGCGTCATCCCCCATCTCCCGCTGGCCATCTCTCGGTCGTCAGACAAACTTTAAAAACAGCGGAGGCCGTTTGGTCAAAAAGGAGGGACACACGGAATCAAACCCATCTGCGTGCGAGCGGATGGACGGAGGGGTAGACTTCATTAAACCAGCTGCGTGCGAGCCGATGCACCGCGCACAAGGCAGGCTGGGGAGGGCAGCGGCGGGGCTCCCAGCTCCGGGCGAGCCCGCTGCCCGCGGGGTGCGGGACGGATCCCCCTCGCCGCCGCCGCCGCCGCCTCCGGCCTTTGTCCCCGCGCTCACCTCGTCCTCCTGCTCGCTGCGGAAGCACAGGCAGGCCGCCCGCTTCTTGAAGCCCTCGCGGTCGTACGTCCGCGTCTGGTTGGGCTTGAACTTCATCCTAGAGCCGGGCTCCTGCTGCTGCTGCTGCTGCTGCTCCTGCTCCTGCTGCTGCTGCTGCCGCCGCTGCTCCGGCCGCCGCCGTGGGGACCCGGCCGCCGCCACCCCGCCGGGGACTCGGGCCGAGGACGGTCACTGCGGAGCTCGGGCGCCGGCGGGGACGGGGCGGCGGCGCGGACACGGACGGCGAGGCGGGACGCGGGTCACTGCAGCCCGGGCGCAGCGGTGGGAGCGCCGCCTCTGCTCCGGCGCCCGCCGCTCTCCATGGAGCCCGCTGCTGCTGCTGCTGCTGCTGCCGCCGCCGCTCGCAGCCACTCCCTGCCTGCAGCCGCCGCCGCCGCCGCCGTCTCCACCGCCTCCTCCACCCGGGGAAGAGCGCGGCTCCAGGCTCGTGCCACGCGGAGACAGTTGGAGGCGGCCGTGCCGAGCGGGCAGCGACGCCGAGGATGCGCGCCGCCCCCTTCGCCCGCATTTAAGCCGGGGGCCCCCGCGCGCCCGCCCGCTGGCGCGCGCGCCATCGCGCCTGCGCGCCGGGACCGTTGCTGGGAGGAGGGAGGGAGGGAGGGAGGATCGAGGGAGGGGGGCAGGAGGGAGGGAGGAGGAAGGAGGAAGGGAGGGAGGGGAGCGGCTTCGGCCCGCCCCGGGCGGGGCAGGCGGCCTAGGTCTAGGGCTCCACCGGCTCTACCCGGCCCGCGGGCGGGCATGGAGGGGACGCGCTTTGTGCAAAGCCGGGGACGGGAAGCGAGCCGAGACCCGATTGCCCTCCGTCTTTAGTGGTCCGGTGGAGTTCCCCTTAGGGACGGACCCCAGTACTGTGTCCTGGGAGAGGGGCTCCCCAGGTGCCCGGAGCCGTTGCAGGGACTGCGGAAGCCTCGCGGTTAGCGCGGCCAGCGGAGGCTGGAGAGGTTAAGTTCATTGAGTTCTCGCTCGCTCTCTCCTCTCCCCCTCCCCCGTCCTTTCCTCTTTCTCAATGAGGATGCAAGTGTATCCTCTTGAGTCAGCAGAAGCTTTGCAATGGTCTGTGCTACAGAGAGTGCTCCAAACTGGAGCATCCCGCACCCGCAGCTCGCCCTCCGGAGCGCGTTCGTGAATACCGCCTACGGCTGTTATTTTTCTGTGTGTCTCTCATTCTAAGTAAACCAATGGGATTCTTGTTGCGTTTGGAAGCTGACAGTCTTAGGCACTTGGAACAACTTCCGATATTTCGGTGCCATGGAAGGGCTAAGATAGAAGGTAGGAGGCCTGACATCACTGGAATTCAAGAAAACCCCTAATCCAAATCAGGTGTGGAATCCCAAGTATGTAATCCCAGCACTTGGGAGGCGAAAACTGGTGGATTGGGAATTCATCCCCCGCCATACATTTGGAGCTGGAGGCGAGACTGGTCTATATGAGACCCTGCCTTCGAAACCCAACCCCCTCCCCCCAAACCCACTAGAGCTCAGCTTCCCACGAAACTGTTTAGACAGCCACATCCGTTTGTTTTTCATTCCTGGAAGGCCTCGGGTGTGCCAGGCGCTGGCATCTTACAAAACCGGTCAGACCCTGCCCCTCCAGGAGAATTAAGAACCGGAGACTAGAGAAATAGTGACCGAGCACAGGAGGTGACTTGGTCGGAGGAGTGTAGGGTCTCAGAGGGGAAAGAGGCAAGCTAGGCAGCAGGGGGAGGAGGAGATACTCAGAACAAAGAGACCTGGGGTTTATGCAAAGGTCAGGGAGGGAGCAAAGCTCTAAGAAATGAAAGAAGGAGGCCAACGTGGCTGTAGAGACCGGAAGCTTGCGCCCCAGGCTGAGGGCTGTGAGTCCTCTTGGTGAGCTAGGGCCCTCCTTTGGTTGGAGACGGTGCCTGTCTCTCTCCCGGAGCCTCGCAGATGCAAGTTTGGAGAATGAGTTAATGTTGAATAAGTGGTTTAAGGAATGAAGCGTCACCACAATTAGAAATCAAGTCTGTACAGAGACATTTTCCAAGCTGTGCTTACTGAAGGCACTTGAAGTTTAACTGTTTCCGGGATTTACAAACACATGAACCTAGGAATTTCAGCGGACTGGTGTTGCAGGTGCTGTTTTTAGACAGTTGATTCCCGTTGATAAAGTGGTCTTTTTGTTTTGTGTTGTTTTGAGATAGTCTCGAGGAGCCCAGGCTGGCCTCGAATTCCTGATCTTGACGTCTCTGCCTCTCAAGTGCCAGATTACAGGCATGTTCCCACGTGCCTGGCTTCACTGTAATGCTTTCAAATGGACGGAGAAAATTCAGTTTCCCTCTGCTCAAATTCTTCAAAGATCTGGCTGCTAGCTGTGCTCAATAAATAGAGTGGCTGAGCGAAGTGGTGGTTTACTCAAGTCCCATTTATTTTTTACATTTCTTTTATTTTGTCTGCATGGATGTTTTGCCTACTTGCTTGCATCCATACCGGCACCGTATGTGTGCCTGGTGTCCTTAGAGGACAGACGAGGAGGTGAGATTCCCCTAAAACTGGAGTTAAGGGTGGTTGTGACAGCTAGGATCTGAGCTTGGGTCCTCCAAAAAAGTCGCAAGTGCTCTTAACCACTGAGCCGTCTCTTCAGCCCTTCTCACTTATTAGTTATAGGAGATGGGCTAGAGTTAAGAGACAAGGGGAAGATGTCCGGGACCAAATGGTGGGAGGGAAAAAGGACAGCAGGTGAGGGTGCAGGGGAGCGTCTTGTTTCAGCTTGGACTTGGTTTTAAAAAAAAAATCTGGCCGGGCGGTGGTGGCGCACGCCTTTAATCCCAGCACTGGGGAGGCAGAGCCAGGAGGATCTCTGTGAGTTCGAGGCCAGCCTGGGCTACCAAGCAAGTTCCAGGAAAGGCGCAAAGCTACACAGGGAAACCCTGTCTCGAAAAAAACAAAAAAAACAACAACAAAAAAAAATCTGGGGCTTCCAAACTTCCAAGTACCAGTGACTACATGTTGGGGCGTCTTCAAGCCTCAGCTGTTCTCATCCTTCAAATGGGTGCAGGATGATTTGTTGCACTTCGAACAAGATTGTGCTTTGAAGTCGCGAAGAATTTGAAGAAACACATGTTATCAACGAGGGGTTCTAATTGTGGCTTTGAGAAGGAGTCTTCCTGGGCAGCTCAGGCTGCCCTTGAACTCTGAGTTCTCTAGCAGCAGTCTCCCTGGGATTACAGGCCTGTCCTGTTCAGTTTTACAGCAGGGAAATTTTTATTGGCGAGCTCTCCAAGTCCCCCCTCCTGCTCATATTCAAACACTAGAGGAGTATTGAAGTGTTGGGAGAAGGCTTGGAGTTTAACATGGGACAGAGGGGTCTTAAATACTGTAATAAATTTTATCTAAACGGAACACTTTTTTAATAGTATAAATTGCCTACTCCTTCCGCACTTACGCATTCGTATTTATTGACTTGCAATTATTTTGGAGAGGCCCAACAGAAAAGGAGGCTTGTCTGACTAAAATTCGACTAGAGAAAGGTCAGCCACAACGCCAGGTCTGCATGTGCCCCCGTCAGTTCCTGTGAATCAGGGTGCACTTCTCAGCTCAGAGCCCCCAGCTTAGTATTCTTTAACGAGTATTATGCGCCTGAAATGAGCTTAGGCACTGTTCAGAGCTTAGAGCCTATCCACTCGGATCACAGTTGAGATAGACAGGCTGTTTTTCTTCTGCAGAACCAGTAAGGACTGAGCTATACCGGTCAGTTCACTCTGGGACTGGAGTCCGGTTTCAGATTAACGTCTGTTTAGTTCGTTTACCACAGTATTGTGTTACCTGGAATTTAGCACCCATGGTGCTATTTCATACCTTATTTCCAACTTTTCTGAACCTTCAGAGAGGGAAATGGCTTAACATGGTGTACATGGCTGTATAGGGTCTTTTCTCCTGGAGTGTTGACCCAAGGTAACGGAGACTCCTCCGAGCATGACCCCCTGGGGCGGAAGGGCTCTGCTGTGTCCTGGATCAACTGAATTCTTTCTCTTGATGAAACTGTGATCATGAAATGGTCCTTTCAATGTCTTTCTTCTGATGACAACATTTCTTTCTCGTGTTAGCCGGGGCATGGCATGATCTCATTGGATGATCCCAGCTGCAGCCCTGGGGACAGCTGCTGGGGCTTTTGTTATTTTTGTTTTGCTTTTGTTTTCTCAGTCAGGTTTCGGCGGGGCGGGCGGTGTATAAGCCGAGGCCAGCCCTCCCTCTCACTCTGTAGCTCAGCTGACCTGGAACACGTCCCTCTGTCTCAGCCTCAGGAGTTCTGGGGTTGTAGGGCCTGTCGTACCACCCCCAGCAGGTTTTTATTTATTCCCATTTTACAGACTGCAGAACTCTGGGCAGTTCCCTGTCATGCCTGCCTGTTTCTATTACGGAGTAACTATTAGTTCATGTGTGTTTCATTGTAACTCAGAGTTTCTTTTCCTTTTTAAAATGAAAAAGGAACTCAGTGGGGATCAGAAGGGGGGACTCGAGGTGGGAAATGGAAGTGGAAATCTAGATTACAATTCCATATACTCTCAAGTGGTTTCTTTTACAGAGGCACCAATGAGTAAAAGCCACAAATGCATACATACACCTTTAAACCAGCAGTTTTGGGACCCTTGGGGTGGGGTGGGGGCATCGAACAACCCTTTCACAGGGGTTGCATACATGTTAATGATTCACAATAGTAGCAAGACTACAGTTATGAAGCAGCAAAGAAAGTAATTTTATGATTGGGGGTCGCAGCATTAGGAAGGTTAAGAACCACTGCTTTAAACCCGCCTACTCTGGAGGACTAGGCAGGAGGAGCAGAAATTCAAGGCCAGCTGGACATCATAGCAAGTTCAAGGCCAACCCGAGCAACTTAGTAAAACCTTGTCTCAAAAAAGAAAAGAAGCCGGGTGGTGGTGACGCACGCCTTTAATCCCAGCACTTGGGAGGCAGAGCCAAGCGCATCTCTGTGAGTTCAAGGCCAGCCTGGTCGGCGAAGTGAGTTCCAGGACAGGCTCCAAAGCTACACAGAGAAACCCTGTCTCAAAAAACAAAAACAAAACAAAGGAAGAAAGAAAGAAAGAAAGAGAAAAAAGAAAGAAAGGAAGAAAGAGGAAGAGGTGGTCTGGACATTGTAGACACTTATTTGTTTGTAATTAAAGCCTCAGGTTGACCCCTCAGCACTGCAAACAATAAACAAAATATAAAAAAGACAGTGTTAAAATTAAGATGAAAGGTTTTTTAAATGAGTCATCGATCCAACTATTACTTAAACTTCGAATGCAGACTTTTGAGTTTCACTGTTTGTAAACTCCTCATTTATGAGAATACTGGACTTTCACATTTGTAATTGAATTGCTATTTTCTAGGTTCCTGTTCTCCACCAGGCCTCTGTCTGGAAAGCCTAGTGTGTCTATGCAGTCCTCCAGCTGATGGAAGTGCAGTTCTCCGGTCCTTATCAGTCAAAGAAAGGCACATGCTAAGGAGTTATCTCCTTGCAAAGACATGACTTGCTGATCGCAGAGACTTCGGGGCAGCCTCTGGCTCTGGCTTCACCTTCAGAAGCTTGTTTTTTTGCTATATAACAATTCTTCACTTTTCTTTTCAAGATAAAAGCAATCACAACAAAGACATGCTAATTAGTCAAATACATAGAATTTGTTTTAATCTGCTTTCTAACAAACTATAGGTATTGTAGAAGGATATTTGTAGGAGAGTCATTTGGTTCTGGATACCTGGCATCACAGACTGAATTTTTCATCTTAAGCAACTGCTCTGCTGGGGTTGATGTTTAAAAGGGGGAATCCTTGTTTTTCAGCAATGTATGCTAAATACATTCACTACAGTAGCATGGTATTTTGAGTTCTTCAGAATAACCTAGGTTGCTGGGGGGCAGGGGAAAATGGTCAGAGTGTAAAATAAGCACCGTTGCTGACCGTCACTGAAGCTGAGATATAGGTACAAAGGGATGAACCACATTCTTTGTGTAACTTTGAGATAGATTGTGTGTGTGTGTGTGTGTGTGTGTGTGTGTTTATCTTATTTTACTTTACTTTTTTTATGTTTTGGAGAGGGTCTTGCTATACAGTCCCGGCTGGACTAGAAATTGTTATGGCCTCAAGTTCCCTAGAGATCCACCTGCCTCTGCCTCCCAAGTGCTAGGGGTAAAGGCATCCGCCACCATGCCTGACAATAAAAATATTTTTAAAATGTAAGGTGCAAGCCATTGAAAACAGAGTGAGGGAAGGAGAGAAGGAGAGAGAGACAAGGGAGGGTTCTGTGTTTCCTCTGGGCATAGAAGTAAACTCTGACACTGTTGGAATGGATGTTTGCACACTCAGAAGGATGAGTCTAGAATAACAAAAGACTGCTTACACTAATTTGATCTGAAATAGATGAGAACCATTGGAGTTCATTAATCAGATTTTAGAGATCTGAGTTAGCCCCCCTTTTCCCGTCTTCTTAAATGGTGAAAGGCATGTGGCTGGCACACATAAAAACGTCTCCCTGGAAATCCCATCTGTACCTCCTCTCTAGCTATTGGCCATTCAGCTTTTTATTACACCTGTCACAGCAACACATCTTAACACAGTGTGCAGATATCCCACAACAGTATAATAGAAAATGGGTATATGTGTTGAGAGTCTTCAATGGTTCAGTTTGACTAAAGAGTCACAAGACTTACCAAGGGAAACATCAGTGCACAGGTGCATTTTAAAAATTGTATTGTTTTATTTTTGAGACAGGGTCTCATGTGGCCCAGGCTGACCTCACCTTGCTATGTGGTCAAAGGATGACTGAGTTTTCCTGCTTCTACCACTGAGTGCTGGGATTACCAATGTGTGCCTCCAGGAATGGGTTTTGTGGTGCTGGGGTCTTGTTCATGCTAGGCAAGTATTGAATCAACTGAGCCATGTCCCCAGCTGTCTCAGGGTTACTGTTGCTGTGACGAAACATCATGACCAAAAGCAATTGGAGGAGGAAAGGGTTTATGTGGATTACATTTCCACATCACTGAAGGAAGTCAAGACAGGAACTCAAACAGGGCAGGAACCTGGAGGCAGGAGCTGATGCAGAGGCCATGGAGGGGTGCTGCTTACTGGCTTGCTCCTCATGGCTTGCTCAGCCTGCTTTTTTATAGAACCCAGTACCAGGGATAGCCCCACCCACAATGGCCTGGGCCCTCCCCCATTGATTACTAATTAATAAAATGCCAGCTGGATCTTATGGAGGCATTTCCTCAATTGAAGTTCCCTCCTTTCAGATAACTCTAGCTTCTGTCAAGTTGATATTAAACTAGCCAGCATACCAGCCCTATGGGTACATTTGTGTGTGTATGTGTATGTGTGTGTATTTCAGGCTCAATTTTTGTATAGCTAGTCATTTTAAAAAAGTAAAAACCTGGTCTGGAGAGGTGACTCAGCGGTTAAGAACTGATAAATGATTTCTTTTTTTTTTTCCTTTCTGGAGCTGAGGACCGAACCCAGGGCCTTGCATTTGCAAGGCAAGTGCTCTACCACTGAGCTAAATCCCCAACCCCAGATAAATGATTTCTTTATTGTTTATTATCAAGAAAAATCCATGCACAAATATTAAAGGACAAATGGGGAACCTGAACCAAGTCATGAGCCGCTGTTCACATGGCCCTCAGTCATGTCCATCCTGAATGAAAACCCTGCCTCTTGGACCAAACCGTACCTCTTGATTGGCTAGCAGACCGGTGACAAAATTCCCCTAACAGAACATTTGCTGCTATTGCAGAGGACTGGGGTTCAGTTCCTACTGCCCACATCAGTCAGGCAGCCACAATGACCTGTAACTCTAGTTCCACGGGATAGAATTCACTCTTCTAGCCTCTTTAGGATACCCTCACTCACGTGCATGTGTGCTCGCCTGTGTGTGATCATGTACACACATGTCCATACACACACATAAAATAATAATGTAAAAAAATATCTTAGAAAGCAGAAACCTGGCTGTGTTGGTATATGCCTATAATCCTGATTCTTCGGAGGCAGTGAAAAGAGATCTGTGAGTCCTAGGCGAGTTTGGACTACGTCTTGAGATTTTATATTAACAAACAAATTAATAAAAAGTGAAAAGGGTATCATTCTACCTTATTTAACACAGTTTGGTAATGTTAAAAATGGTTATATAATAGATTTAATGTAAACTACACTTAATGTAGTTGTTTTTTTTTTTTTCCCCCGGAGCTGAGGACCGAACCCAGGGCCTTGTGGTTGCTAGGCAAGTGCTCTACCACTGAGCTAAATCCCCAACCCTTTAATGTAGATTTTTCCACATTGAAGGGATGTTTGTATTCCCTGGGTTTGTTTGACACTTAAACCGGAAACAAAGATTTTCAATTTTTTCTTTCGTTCTCTTTCTCTCTCTCTTTTTCTTTCTTTCTGAGACAATCTCTCTTTGTAGCCCTAGATGTCCTGGGCCTTGATATGTACGCCAGACTGGCTTCAAACTAACAGAGATTGCCTCTGCCGCCTGGGTGCCAGAATTAAAGGTGTGGGCCACCAGGCCTAGCCTCAAGAATTTGATTTTATAAAGGTCCATCTTTAAATATTTGGAAAAATGAATGCCCAAACTACTTTTGGTTCTTTTTTTTGTTGTTGTTGTTGTTTTGGTTTTTTGAGACAGGGTTTCTCTGTGTAGCTTTGCGCCTTTCCTGGAACTCACTTGGTAGCCCAGGCTGGCCTCGAACTCACAGAGATCCTCCTGGCTCTGCCTCCCAAGTGCTGGGATTAAAGGCGTGCGCCACCACCGCCCGGCTACTTTTGGTTCTTAACATCTGTATGTGTTCATTAGTTTGAAAGATACACACCTAGAGAAATTTGGAAATAGTTTTGTTTGGTTTTATTTTGGGCAGAGTTTCATTTTGTATTCTAGACTGGCCAGGAACTCATTATATATAGCCCAGACTCGCTGAATACTTGTAGAAATAATCCTTTCTCAGCCTCCCCAGTGCCAAGATTGCAGGCTCGAACCCCTTTACCTGGCTTGAGGATGCTCTTGAGATCGATTGCTGATGTATGCTTGACATAAACACTCAGGATTGGTGTGCCAGGTTTGGAATGGAAGAACACAGTTGCCTTGAGATATTTGGTCTCAGAGGCAGCAGCCATGTGACCGTGGACCCTTTAGCAATGCCATCTGTTAGAGCTTGTGGGAGCAGTAAGGTAATGCACACCAAAGACCAAGGCCACCAAGCCACTGGTGGCATTGGCTCTTTTCATGTTTCCTTCTTTCTGGGTTTAGAAAGACAAACCACGAGAATTGGAAACTCCCTGGGGGAAAAAACAGGTAGAATAGATTAAAAACTTTATTATCAATTTCTAACAAAAAAAAAAAAAGTTAAAGCCGGGCGGTGGTGGCGCACGCCTTTAATCCCAGCACTCTGGAGGCAGAGCCAGGCGGATCTCTGTGAGTTCGAGGCAGCCTGGCCTACCAAGTGAGCTCCAGGAAAGGCACAAAGCTATACAAAGAAACCCTGTCTCGAAAAACCAAAAAAAAAAAAAAAAAAAAAAGTTAAGCGGAAATCAAATAGAAGAATAATGAAATAGCCTTTTGCCCCCGCACCCCCAGCCTGGTGCAAAAGTCCAGGGAAACGGGGTTTAGGAGACTCCAATCCCATGTGACTTTAAAGGGTTTCTGCTGGGTTCCTATGGGGAGTCTGGACTATCGCCCCGCTGCCCACTCTGTTGTTGGTAAAGTCTGGACAGAATAGACAAACATGGGCTTCCTGAAAAGGCATGGAGGGTGGGTGGGAGGCATCTGTCAGCAAACATTTGTTTCAGTTATCTGTGTTTTAAAGTGTCCACCTAATGCTGAGACACCTGAGATAGCAGGATTCTGGGGACTGGGGTGGATCTGTCATGAGCATGAAAGGCAGCCTGGGCGACAGACTGTCAAAAAAAAAATTAAAAAAAAAAAAAAGTGGGGGTGGGGGTGGATTCACAGCAAGCTCTTCAGAGTCTGCACCACCAAAGGCAGCCTGCAAGAGCCATGCATTCATTCTTCTTATTCAAGACTTCTCTTTCCCAAGCCCCAGAACTAGTCCAATCTTCAAGTAGGCCCTGGCTTAAGGAATGCCTTCTCAGGGGAGCTTCAGTGTTTCCTGCTTTTGTTTATAGTTCTGTAATATTCCACCTGCTTTTCTTGCCTTAAGAAAACCAGTGACTGTAAACAGATGGCCCGGTCCCAAATATAAGCCTCACACAGAGGCTTATATTAATTGTAAATGCTCAGCCAGTAGCTCAGGCTTATTACTAACTAGCTCTTACATTTAAACTAATCCATTTCTATTAATCTACATTTTGCCACGTGGCTCGTGGCTTTACCTGTCCTCTGGCATGTCTTGTTTCTCTGACATCTGGCTGGCAACCCTGACTCCACCCTCCTTTTTCCCAGCATTCTCAGTTTGGCTTTCCCACCTAACTTCCCGCCCAGCTACCGGCCTGTCAGCTTTTTATTAACCAATGAGAGTAATACATATTCATAGTGTACAGAAGGATTGTTCTACAGCAAATGACTGCCCAGTGGTGATGGTGGTGGCACACGCCTTTAATCCCAGCACTCGGGAGACAGAGGCAGGCAGATCTCTGTGAATTACAATATATCTAATACTCTTTAAAATAGATACATTGTAATTAATGTAGCAATTTTACTACTAGGTATTTAGTCTTTTTAGCCAACCATCTTTAAAATAATAGGTATTTCAACCTTTTAAAAAACTCTCAATACTAACCACAAGTAAATAAGAATGCCTGAAAGGTATGGGCAGTGGTAATTTTTTTATTTACTAGCTTTCTTTCTTTCTTTCTTTTTTTTTTTTTC